GTGCGAAACCATTAAATGGCCGGGCTCAACACCAAATACATATAATGCACGACTGCAAGCGGAACCGTCCCGTTTCATATGGGGTTTGTGGCTTTGACAGAACTGAGAAAATCCAAGCAGAAAGGGAGAAGGTGGAGGATGGGGGACCGAACCGTGGAGAATTCGCCAGAGAGAATGCACTGGAAGGGCACTGAAAAATCCGTGAAACAAGCCACGTACCTACCTCATCGCTCACCCACACACTTACTCCTGGTTGTGGCAGTACCCGTGTGCGCACTATAAATATAAAAACCCTCCATCCATCAGGAATTTTTATGAAAGGCCCGACGATTGCTACCAGTCCATTGTGTTTCTGTATGCGAATTGTCCGCACCACGCCTGTGTTTACCGTCCTGCCACCTAATTGAACCGTTCAAATTTCAGTAGATGCGGTGGCATATCGTCGGATCAAAACAACCCCCCAGATAAGTCCCTTGTTTGTACTCTTTTGTCCGCCCTCGCTTTGTATATAGTTTTCCCAGGACGTGATTTTCATTGTTATTTGATTAATTAAAGCAGCACCCAAAAAAATGTAAGAGGTCATTGACAAAGTGTTCCAGTTTCGGTATGCCTGATTAGCAGCGATTTGTTCGGGGGGAGCCGAGCGAGCACCGAGGAATATACCCAGTGATAAGGACCCAACTGACAGTGATCGCTTTTATATTGGGGTTTACTGATTGCAGATTACCAAAGTAATGGCTAGTAATTATATACACTCATTTTTATAGGGGAAAGTCCAATGAAAAGTATGGAAAACCGAGTGAGTAGCAACAAGTACTAGCCCATTATAAGCGATATTCATTTATTATTTATCATTATAATTATTATTTTTGGGGGCTTCAATTAATGTGCCCCTTGATTATCACGGTGCGACGTCATGGTATTAATTTAGTAGCTCGCTATCTCGAGTGTCTATCGTCCATTTAGAGCCTTTCGAAAGGGGTCAGGTCACATCAAAGTGACGCAACTACATAAATACTGTTTTGATTTCGTCTGACGACTGGCTTGGCTTGGCTTGTATTATTTATTGCGATGTCTCATTAATTTATGCGACACGTTACGAGCTCCATTTTTTAAGCGCAGCAACTTGCATTCATATTTAATATGTTAGCAGTCTGAGCGAGTCGCAAAAGAAACGTTGCCAAATCGCAAAAACTGGAGCAACAGGCTAACAGCCAACAAACATAAATAACTTTCATAATTGGCTAACCATAAAACGCTATATAAACACCCTCAAAACTTCAAACTTGCTGCAAATTGGTTTGTTTTGTTTTGTTTTTTCGTTTCCATCAAAGATTGGGGGGAGGCAGCTTGTTTATATGGTTGTCAAGTCAGCCAAGTGTTTGGAGAAGTAGATAAGGAGCCGCCGAATACACGAGGCTTATCTCGTGCCCCGCATTTCAAACTTGAACTACATATGGGCGAGTGCGAAAAATACACTCTTGACACCCTTCAATGCGGAATAAGTTAGAGCTATGTATGTTATCGCTGGTATGTATAAAAAAGCGTTTTAGTTTAAATCCAATGGATAAACTTTCTCCGTAGCTAAATGATTTATCTTGCCTGACGCCGCTCCCCAATCTTTGAGATCACTTTTCGCTTTTCGCAGCTTTGCTGGGGATCATGTCTCGAAAATACTTTCACACTTCTCTTCTCTGCGCGGGGCAAACTCCGATTTCGGGGAATTTTATCCGAGACTCGCCACACGTAAGTAAGTAACAACAAAGTTATTACCTGGCTGACGATCAGCATGTGCCTGCCTTGTAGGCCCGTAATCATCATTAAACTGGATTTTAAGTGGCTTACATTTTGAGTTTCTAGGTATGAGCTATGAATGAACATATCCCAACAACATTGGCACGTCATTCAGTTCACTTTTAAGCTGAGGTTAATGTTGACAAACGTGTGACGGAACTACATATCTCGGGCAGGTGACTGATAAGTTAATCCACATTGCCTTGTCTAAGCCTGCATTTTATTTGCACTCGTTTTTTTTTTTTTTTAATTTGATTGCTCTTGACGTTGGTGCTAAAAATACATATTACATCTATTGTATGGGTGTCATAAACCCGGGCTAATTGCCCGCCGGCCTAATGAGAGATTTGTCCGACAATTAATCCGACTTGTATTGCTAACTGTTGGCCCCGGGCCGTGACTCCGGCCATCGATGATTAAGAGTCAGCGAAAAAAGTAAATAAAATCAGCGGCTAACGAACGGGAGTGAACTTTGGATAGGATAGCTGAGGTGTGTGTCTTTGTGTGTTGTTGCAAAAGGAAAGTTTTCCGCACGAAAACGAAAGCCCACAGTAGTTCAATAAAAGCATTCAGATATCGTAAAGCGTATACCGCCTCCCCCGGAAGCGGCCTCGAAAATTAACATACAAACTCAACACTTATTGCACTTGAGAACTTCTCCCGAGAGAGGCTGTAGCTATTCAATTAAAAGCAAATCAAGATAGCAATTTAACGGCACGATAATAAATCCACTTTTGTGGCGTGCCATCGTACCATATCGTTAAGTTCTTTATGTTTGCCTTTTCTTTATTTTGTTTTTTCTTTAGCGGCTTTTTGTATAACCTAATTACGTTCATTCTCGCTGACTTCACGGAGGCATGAGACCGAAAACGCTTTTGAAATTCTAATGATGTTATTCAGACCATTTGGGCCAGAAAGCAATGCATTTGAACTCATTTATCATTAAGAGAGTCTTTTTCGAGTCCCAACCAATAACGAATAATCGCCTGAATAATGCATATGATTGCGGGTCAAATTGTATAATGAACTAAGCGTTGCTGGGGTCCGAGTTCGGGTTTCAGTTTCATTTTCAGCACGAGTTGGAGTCTCGTAAGGTCAAAGCATTTTTCATGCAACACCTTGAGAATCGGCGGCCAACACCAGCACCTCCTATGGTAGCTCCGTTAGCTTTGGCAACAACACTCGACTCGGGGAAGAAACCAGTTTTCCATGCCACTCTTATTGGTAATGAGCAGGGGAGCAGAGAAAGAGCTCTCTGATGGTGGTGCTTGCTGGCAGCCCAGCCGGTGCCGGGTGCCTGTGCTGTGCTGACGGTTGACTCTCGTCAATGGGCCAGCCAGCCAGCCATAGTAGCGGGTGCCGTATAATTGGGCGGAAAGTAACGTTGACGTCGACCACTCTCTGCAATTAAAGACCGGGCCATAAAGCCAAGATTTCAGCCTGCGCACAGCAGCGAACAGCGAACAGTGAACAGAGGGCTGTGGAAGTGAAGGGGGCATCGGCGCCCCACTCTTGGTGGCCCAGCGCAAAGTGGCCTCCGTGTTTATGGGCCCGAGAAGCGAGCACACATGCAAACTTGGCCAAGAGCTCGGGCACGCAATATGGCATAAAGTTAAGAATAGCAAATAGGTAAACGATATTTGCTTGCAAAATTGAGAAAAGGGAAATCACTGAACTAAAAGGGGTTGGCACACACTCGAGATACCCTAACTCATGTGGAAATCGAGGCAAAAAACAACGGAAGAAGCACGAAAATCCCTTAGTTATTAGTTTTATTTGCCAGATGTTTCCCCAATTTGATTCCTTATTTATTACGTTCGTTCGTGGATTAAAGCCCACCACATTTATCTTTATAGGATTCAGCATCTTCCTAGAAATGGGAGCGTTTTTTTGTATGTTTTACTCTGCAATTTATGGTGAGAAGAGCTGGTAACCACTGTGGATATAATAAATACGGGTTGCAAACACAAAAGGAAGCAAATTGTTTTCCTTTTGATTAAAGCTCCCCAACTCCCTGATAAGAAATAAAAACAAATGCCATGATTTATCCCTGATAAGGAGAAACAAATAATAATTAGGAACAATGAAACCCAAAAATATCTTTGAGTGCGAGATCATTCTCTCGAAATTTCCTTTCTTTTCTCAGGTAAAAACGAGGCAAGAGAAACGAGTGCCCAATTATGACATGCAGAATGCACAGTACTTTCCCTCCACCTGCCAGCCTTTTTTGGGAAAGACCCATAAGGAAATTCAATTCATGCATTAAGACGAATACAAGCGATCGTTAACTGAAAAGGTCAGAGGAGAAAAAAAAAAATACAGAAGCAATCAAAGTGAGAGGCACAACCAAAATAAACAATCGGAACAATGGCTATCTCCACGCATCGTCACGAAAAACGCACAAACGAAGAATGATGATTTGGATGAATAATAAAATTTTCCGAAACGTGTGGCCGATAAGATAATGGATAATCTAACTGCCTAAATATAAATATTTACAGACCATTAATGCAGGAACCTGTCCCTGCCGAAAAAGAATATGTATCGCCTACCGGTAGCAAAATGAATGCGAAACGGATGAAACTTTTCGCAGGCGCGATGTGCTATAAATGAAGCTTTATTTCTTTGTTGTTCCTGGTAAACGTCCAGACAATTTAATTTATTTGCCTGCATTAGGACAAACATGATACCGCAGAGCAGGCACCAGAGACACCGGGAGGAACAAAAGCCTCATCAAAGTACAACTTAGTGCCTCCCTTTCCAATTATAGTGTGTCAGATGAGGGGCGCCACCGTCGTGTGTTGGTATACACTCGGAAAAAATGTATTAACTAAACAACTGTATCTCAATATTGCTTCTTTGCTAATAAATCTTTATTTTTTTCTAGAATTTATCTGATTATCAGACACATTCCCTCTACCGCTGCAAGTTTTGCACATTATTTCTGTGTCGCTTCCTATTTTAAGAAGGAAAAAAAGAAGCCTTGCACATTTCCTATTTATAGATAAGCCACGACATACACACATTTTTTTGCTGACTGCATGCGTGCTTGCAGATAAATAAATCACATTAAAAATTAAACAAAACCCGTAGCCCAAAAGTTGTACAACACATTCCTATGTTATCTCTGGGTCTGAATGCAACATAATAGACTGGGCGGGATAATAGTAAGTGAGTGAGTGAATGAGTGAGTGAGTTTTACTTACATTCAACATCCAAATGATCATCTCCTCGAGGACAATGTCCATGCCGCTGTGGGCCCCGCTGAGGGCATATTCGACGGGATTGTCACTGCTGCGGCCACGTGGAGTTGCTGCTACTGCTGCTGCCGATGTGGATGTAGATGCAAGTGTAGTCCGGCTCTTTGGAGGCGGGTTAATGCTGGAGAGAGGTGTGGCCGTTGCTGCAGTTGAGTTGTCTGCTTCTGGGGCTCCTGTTGCTGATGCTGTTTCTGATGTTGCTGCTGGTTCTGCTGATGTGGCTGTCGATCCTGTTGTTCCTGTTGCCTCGACCAGACTCGGCTGGTTGGCATCGAATAGTCCGAGTAGCTCCAAGTCCCGCTTGCAGCAGCAGCGGCATATCCGTGGCATTTCCAATGCGTCCTCGTCGCCGTTGCCAGCCGGCAGCAGAGAAAGTTGCTCATTGGCAGTGGCAGCCGTTGCCGTTGGTGTTGCACCTAAGGCACTGAAGCCTCTCCTCCTGTTGGCACTCATTTCTGCTTTGGTTTTTCTTTTTCTTTTGCTTTTTCTTGCTTGCTATTTTCTTTTCTTTACTCTTTTTTGTTTTTCTTTTTTTGGCGGTTGTTTATATGAATTTAATTAAGCCTGTTGCCGTGGCTTTTGGATTTTCACACGTCACCCACGAACTCGAGCGTCTTTTAGTCGTAGTTGTTGCTGCTGTTGCTGGTTTTCTTACGCTTTCGTTTTGACCACGACGATTCGGAGACCTAAAAAACCAGAAAAGGCCAGAAAGAAACATAAGCAACGGATTTGTTAAGAAGCCTTTCGCTGCACAAGATTTCGTGCGAGTGTGCGAGTGTGTGGACCGGTGGTGTGGTGTGCGTGTGAGCCAGTTTGTGCTTAGTAGGCCAACAAGAAACCGAATCAGAATATCTAAGTTGCCCCCCAAGTTTATTAGCAGCGGAAAGATAAACACACAGCATCAGTTGTTTTTTTTTTTTTCAACTACGCGAAGGGAAAACTAGATGAAGCAGTTAGTTTTTCCTTTTCCTTTACCGGGAATTACAGCTTAAACAGGTTTTTTTGGACGAGTTTTCGGGAACAGGAAAATATGCATTCCCAATCAAGCTTTTATATTAGTTTAACGGAACTTTACATTCTTTTTTTTTCACAACTTTTATGAAAACCACAAAAATTTGCAGTAGTTTTGGAATTTCCAAACAAAAATAAACACTTTACACGGACAAAAAACTGAAAACAGACAGGCGAAAACCTTTTTCTCAGATTTTTATTTTTTATAATTGAGATTAAAGATCGGCTGTTTTCCGATAACATTTCAATATTTTAGCCCCGATTAAAAGAGCCTTTCCCGATTTTTTCGATTTTCCTCTCTTAGGCCTTTAATTTTTGGCTTAAAATCGGAATAGAACACCCCGAAAACACCTGCCCTTGTGGAGCTAAAATAAACTTTGGCGCAGTTTTCTAGCCTTTCGAATATATAAACCACTAGAAAAACTATTTGGCTTTTTTGGGTGTTGATTTGCTTTAGCTTTTTCTATTTCGTCGTCGTCGTCGTCGTTGTTGTTGTTGTTGTTGTGGTTGCTTTTATTTTTGTTGTTACAGCCGATGAGAGATTTTCTCGAAATGATCAAATTATTTTTGGTGGCGGCATTTGCGTACGCACACACACATACACTCTCGGAATAGCATTCGCAATCAGACGGACACTCACACGGGCGCACATGTGGGGCAGGAATTTAAATTGATGAATTAAATGCATTTACGTTACGCACACAACCAAATAACTGATAGCACAGCGGCGGCGAGATTTCCGTTACTTTCCAACCGACAACTGTGATTGCTCCCGTGGCACGGACAACTGGACGCGTCGCGATTCCCTGTCCGTTAAACGTTCCCAAAATATGAGATTGTGCTTTTTGAATTCCTCGCACAGCGCCAATTCATTATTCGATTACGCGGTGGTGCTGGGAAGACCGAGTTTTTTTTGGAAAGAAATGTGAACTGACCAGTGATGTTTTTTTTTTTTAGCAAAGAATTAAGCTGATTTTTAAAAAATAATTTTTAATTTGTTGTTTTTTTTTTAATTTTAAATATAAAATATTAAATCGGTCGGGACAGACGCAGTATTTTAAATCACCGCGGCACGAACGTCTCCGGATCGCTCCTCAAACTTAACTGAATACGAACTGAACGCTGAACCGAATACCCAAACTGACTGAATACGAATACGAATACGACGAATACGAATACCTCACCACCACTCACCACCGGCCGAGACTGCCTCTCTGCTATGCCGCGCAATTCAAAGTGTATTCCCGAGTTTATCCATATTTTTTTTAATCGAAAACCTTCAACAAACGGTTCCCAATTGAAGTGGCAAATTATTTTAAGTTTTGTTACAAAATGCAAAAAAATTAAATATCTAAAATGCTTTACCTTTCCTCCTTATTTCGTGAAAATCGGCAATGAAATACTATTTAATTTGATTTTAAAAAATCAATTTGAATTTTCTTTAAATTCTTACATTTTTGTTATATTTTTTAGTTTCTATTTATAATTAGTATTTATTTAATTAATATTCAGCAAGAATAAACGTTTATGTTAAAATGTCAAAACTAATCTTACACGTTTACAGAATAACGGTGTAAAATTTGTATGAGAATGTTAAGCTTGAGGTCGAGGGAAATTTTGAGCACAGACGCAAACCGCGTGGGGAATTTGAACAATTGGGCCTTCGAACAAAAATGTTGGAAAAATATTTGAAAAGCTACCACTAAATAATTTAATTATTAATAATACGAAAAAGTATGTACCTTTGGAATATGTTCAGGAATCCTTAAAAAATGTATTCACTTGGAGCTTTACATTTTTTGTTTGTTACAACACAGGCAAGAAGTACAAGAGTTAGACTTGACATTTTTAAAAATAAATATTTGAAATAAAAATTTGAATAAATAATGAATAGGGAAAACTTACAGCGACGTTTTCACTAAAGCAGCTAGTATTAAGCAATTAATTTACGAGGTTTACTGTGTAAGGTCGCATAAATCGCAATAAAATGTTGATTTAATTATTGAAAATTTTTCAAGTGATGCCTTGAGTTTCTAGAGCTGTATTTACGCGACATTTACTGCTGGAGCGAATTCGTAAACTACTTCCAGCATGCTTGACTGCCTTTCCTTAAACCGGATTAAGGTTGTCGAGGTTTTTAATCCTCGCAGGCTTTGGTGCCTTCATTACTGGGACAAGCTAACAGCAAAAGCTCGTTTAATTAACCAGTTAATAGGAAAAAAATCGAACAATAATCTGTATAGCTTTGGGCGTTATCTTGCCGCAGACACACAAGGAATTTTCATGCAGGAATTTATCCCGAACGCGAACCCTCGAGCATGCATGTTGAAGAGCGACAGAGAGGCATTAGCATCAGCTGTTCGCGGTACCAAAACAGAGAGATTACAATGGGAGGAAAACAGAAGCAAGAGAACGGAACAAATATGTGGGCAAAAATTCAAACGGAATGCCAATTATGCCGGAAAGGAAATCGCAAAAAGGAAAAATTCGAAAAATATAATACGACGGTAAGTGGTTGAAAAAGCTCGGTAAGCTGATTAATTTGCAAAGCAGAGGTTCTCCTAATTGCTCCTGAACGACAGTGCCCAGCCCATTACTCTCGCCCCCTCCCCCACCCTGTGGTCGCGCCTTGGCGCTCTTGTTGTTGTGTTCATTTATGAGCACCCTTTGTTTTTGGGCTCCATTCGGCGGCCGCTGTATTGCCCTCCCTTTCTATCCGCCATCAGCTAAAAGGCACACACACTCGAGAAGGACTCTTGTGCGCTGGAGAGACACATCAACTTGAGATTTCCACGCAGGAAGCTCGAAAGCACATGTAATTGGTCCGGCATGCTTTTTATCCGATTATTAACGCTTTCACGCTTATACTCACATTTTTGGCGAGGGCGCCTGGGAACGCACATCCTGGCGATTAACGCCGCCAGCGGAGGCCGGCGGCCGAAGTAACCACTTCCATGCAACGCGATGACCAAATGTTCTTTCAATATCACTTGCGAAAATCTCCAGTCAAACACTCGTAAAACACGGTTTCCTGATTTTTTAGAAATATTCGTACAATTGGGCTTGGCAAGAACACAGTTCGGAAAACAGCAGACAGTGGCCAGTGGGGACATAGGCAATAGGCAAGAAGTTCTTGCCAAGAAGTTTCTATCGATATCGGTGCTTATTTTAAATCGGTTAGCGGCTTTCCTTCTGCATCACCTGGTCACATCTAATTTGGTCAAAATGCCCACCTGACGGCGCTGCCGGACTGTGACAGAAATTTCCCGATTTTACTTTTAAATAGAGCTTATATAATATATATTTATCAGGAAATGGAGAGAAAAAATCATCGCCAGACTCTATGAATTATATTAAAATAATATAACATTTAATTAACATTTGAAATTGCGCGCCTCGTGTCCAGTCAGTTCGCTAGGTACGAACAGCTGATTAGTAGTCCCTCCGGTCACACTGCCGGGAAAATGTGCTTTAATGAGCTCACCAGACTTGTTTCGGCGTTTTCCCGAGGAAATCTGAACTTTACATATGCCCTGGAGTGTTTTGCACTGGATCACGGGTGTCATAAATACAAAATGAGCGGGACAACGGAGAAAAGAGTAAAAAAGAAAATGTTGCTGAAAAAGTATGGCAACTTTAATGACCCGTTTAAGTGAGACCCTTTGCTGTGGATGGTGAATCCGATATTTTCGTCGGAGAAGCCGACGGACACACTGCACCTCGTTTCTGAAAGTAAACAATTGTAAATATTTTCCATTTGCCGCTAAATTACTGCAACATGTCCATGCAAAAGGCCAAAATCATCGACCAGAAGGAGTACCTCAAGAAGTACCTTTCCGGCGACAAGGAGAAGAAGAAAAAAAAGAAGGAGAAGAAGCATAAGAAGGGCACCAAAGTGAAAATCATTGATGACGACGCTTACGATGAGGACAACCGGGAAATGGACGAGGATCTCCTGTTGGGCGGTGAGGACGCGCCCCAAATTGTGGGCGAGTACATCGAGGACGATCCCAACGTGCGCAGCAAGTGGCGCAACATCGCCGTCAAAGACGAAATCAAAGAGGAGCTAGGGGCGGAATCTTCGCCAGCGTCAGCGCCTGCTATCCGCATCAAACAAGAGCCGCTGGACGAGGAATCGGGCATGTGGGGACGAAAAGCCACTAGCACTAAAATTAAAGATGAATTCTCTCCCTCCAGACGGAACCCTCCCGTTAAAATCAAGCAGGAGAAACGCAGCAGCTCCAGGGATTTGAGTCCAGTGAGGTCGCCCACGAGGAGAGGAGGTAGTCCAGATCAGAGCCCACCGAGGCAAAGAGTCCCAGATAAGTCGCCACAGCGTAGGAAGCGCAGGGACTCTGATCAGAGCCCTCCAAGGCGGAGAAGAGATGCCGAGAAGTCGCCACAGCGTAGAAGCCGCAGGGACTCTGATCAAAGTTCTCCCAGGCGAGGAAGGGAAGCAGATCAGTCTCCACAGCGTAGGAAGCGCAGGAACTCTGATCAGAGTCCTCCAAGGCGAGGAAGAGACGTGGATCAGTCGCCACAGCGTATAAAACGCAGGGACTCTGATCAAAGTCCACCCAGAAGAGAAAGGAATGGTGATCAAACGCCCCCCAGAAGACAAAGAGACGCAGTCCAGTCACCAGCCCGAAGAAGAAAGGATTCCGACCAGAGTCCGCCTAGGAAACGAAGGGATAAGGTCCAATCACCACCTAGGAAGCGTAGAGACTCCGACCAAAGTCCTCCGAGGCGTACCAAAGGTGACTCCGTCCAAAGCCCACCCCGGAGGCGCAAGGATAGAGATTCATCTCCACCTAGAAGGCAAAAGGATTCCGATCTAAGCCCACCCAGAAGACGCAAAGCCCAATCTCCACCAAGAAAGAGGGAAAAAGATGCCGACCAAAGTCCACCAAGGCGACGTAGAGATGATGACCACAGCCCACCAAGAAGACGCCGCTCCGTCAGCAGAGATCGAAAGCCGTATCGAGAGCACAACCCTTTCAAAAAAGAAGAGGGCCGCGAGAGGAAAAGCCGCTGGGCAAAGAACTCAGCCAGCAAGTCCCCGTCTCCGCCTCCTACGCACAAACCCAAATCCACCAAGACCCTGGATGGCAAGAAGGCTGGTCTGCAGGATGCGCAGGCCCTGAAGAAGGAAACAGACGAAAGGCGAAAACGAGAGCACGACCTATTCGAACAGATGTCCACCGAGGTTTCTGGCCGGGATGCTGAGATTCAGATGCGCAACACCGGCCGGAAGGGACGCCGAGCCCGTGATGCGGCCAACGAAGATCCCGCAGAGCGTCGACGCAAGGAGGAGCACGAACAGAAAAAGAAGGAACTGTATGATAAATGGGGCAAGGGTCTGAAGCAAATAGAAGACCAAAAGACCCGACTTGAGGAGATGGCTCACGAGGCCGCTAAGCCTGTGGCTCGATACGCCAACGATGAGGACTTGGACAGGCACCTGAGGGAGCAGGAGCATGCTGATGACCCCATGCTGGAGTACATGCGCCAAAAGCGCAAGAAAAAGGAGGAGAAATCTAACAAGCCGGTGATGCCCAAGTACGAGGGAAGCTATCCAGAGAACCGTTTTGGTATACGACCAGGCTACCGATGGGATGGCGTGGATCGGTCCAATGGCTACGAGAAGCGCTGGTTCGACAAGCAGAACGAGCGCAAGGCGGTGCAGGACGAGGCTTACAAGTACAGCGTGGAGGACATGTAGATTTACTTATGAATATTTGCAATAAATATTTCACAACTGCCTGTAAACTGTAATAATTAAATTACATCATGTTTTCCAAATTACAATCTGAAATTTTTTAAAAGATTTCAATATTCTTAAAATAATAACGAAATTGCATGCATGGTGAAATAGGAGAAAAAATTTGTTGATAGTCTGTTACTTTACGGATTTTCAATAAATGAAGTTTTCTAATTAAAATTTAATATTAATACCAGTACAAACACCATTTAATAAAAACAGATTTGCATTATAAACATTTGCCTTACGTTATCGTTATATGATTTTTGAAATACCCGCCACTTTTCGATAACTCGTACTCGCTACTTCAGCCCTGCCATGCCTTGCAACCCTGTGTGTAGAATAGCGGAGCAAAAGCGAATAGTCAAAAAATACTCTTCATCTACACCTGCGACCTGTGCTAGTAGCTCCCTAAAAAACGTTAAAAACTCCTTTAAAACTGCTCAATTTATAAAAATCTCATTGTAATTATTTTGTTGAATGCTTGTTGCGCCCTTTGAGTGTATAATTTAATCGGGTGAGTGCCGTTATCTGATAGATTAATCCATTCTAACATTTTTGCTTTGTAAGCAGTTGAGCATGTGTGTGTTAGTATGTGTATGGAAATGGTGATTTTGCTTTGCTTTGTTGCTGTTTTCGTTACAGCGAACAAAGCGTAACAATTTGTCAGAGTGTGCGTGTATGAGCATCGTGAGGGGGCGGGGAAATAGTGCTAGTGTGCGTGTAGCTAATTAGCATAAAATACTCTTAGCCACAAAAACAAAGCCAAAGAAACGTGTTGTTGCTGGATTTGGCTTGGGGATTTCGGTGGTTTTCCAGCTGCTGCCCTTCGCCTTCAACCGCAATTGTCGGTCAGCCGATGGAAAACCTGTTTGTTTGTTAGCTGCTGCTGCTGATTGTTGTGATTTTGTTGTTGCTGCTGCTGTTGCAGCAGCACTGCAATTTCTTTGGCGCAAAATTGGCGCGAAAAGTTTTCCAGCTGCAAAAACGTGTAGAAATCAGCCATTTGGCGCATGCACGCGCCTGTCGCTCGTCTCGATTTCGATCTCTCTCTCTTCCCCCTCATTATTTCCCCTTCTTTCATGTCTATCTCTGTGGCATGCAAATACTGCAATCAGCACTCGCTCACTCTCGCCCCATCTCTTTCTGGCTGACACACATACACACTTCCGCACACGGTATTCATTCATGACACTGCTATTTGCTCCCTCTTTCTCCCCCATATTCGTATTTCTTCTTTGTATTTCACTTTGCAAATTGCCATTTCTTAGATTGTTTTCCTACTCAAACGATGAGCAGTGCCCAAGATTTAAATTAATTTAATTCAATTTATTGTTTACAAATGCAAATTTAGTCAATTTACTACACGGTGCAAAAAGTAAGCTTTATTTACTAATGATGTGCTAAAATATCAAAGAATGTCATATTTTAGCGAAACATAAATCGATATGAATTAAAAATCAATTAGAAATTGTAAAGTGGAAAGCGCAGAAAGCTAACTTGGAAACTAAGTTAGTTTATCCTTGCAGTTTTTGTTGGATCATTAAAAATCCTTGTGTACAGTTGCGGCAAAAAAAATAGCACCGAGACATATATTTTTCTTTATTGATTATTTGTTTTAAAAATATTCATATATTTAACTTGTTTAAGGCTTTTATTTTTACTTTAGGTTCTAATTTATCGAAATACACTGCAAGTGTCGTCGATAATAACATGAAAATGAAATATTTACATTAAGAATGTGAGCGTTGAACATTTTAGGCGGCAACAAAAATAGCACTATTTCAAAAATAACTTAAGAAAACGAAAAAAAACGAAAAAAAAAAACGGGAAGTTCTGGAATATTTGTATTCATTTGTATTCCTTATCGATATAGTGTATTAATATTTCGTTGTAAAAGCTTTGGCAGCAATGACAGCAGCACAACGTCTCGGCGTAGAATTGACCAAATTTTGGCACCTTTCCCGTGGAATACTGCTCCATGATTCTTGAATGGTGGCCCAGAGCTCATGATTAATCCTTGGTTTTGCATTGGAAACATATTTTTTTACATCAGACCAAAGATTCTCTATCGGGTTTAAGTCTGGAGACTGAGCAGGCCAATCCATTAGGTGAAGGGATCTGTCTTGAAACCACTTAGGAGCGTTCTTGCTGGTATGTTTAGGGTCGTTATCCTGTTGGAAGACCCACAATAACGGCATTTCGTATTCTGCATAAGACAGCATCACTGTTAGCAAAATATCGCAATAGACATGTTGATCCATAATACCTTTTATCCAATGTATTGGACCCACTCCGTAATAAGAAAAGCATGCCCAAACATCCAATGGTCGGATGAAAGCAAAATCGTGCTATTTGGAGGAAGAGGATCTCGATCCTATGTACGGCGACCCCCCAATTCGGAATACCGCCCAAGTTTCACCTGCAAGACCATAAAACACGGTGGAACGAGTATCATGGTTTGGGCATGCTTTTCTTATTACGGAGTGGGTCCAATACATTGGATAAAAGGTATTATGGATCAACATGTCTATTGCGATATTTTGCTAACAGTGATGCTGTCTTATGCAGAATACGAAATGCCGTTATTGTGGGTCTTCCAACAGGATAACGACCCTAAACATACCAGCAAGAACGCTCCTAAGTGGTTTCAAGACAGATCCCTTCACCTAATGGATTGGCCTGCTCAGTCTCCAGACTTAAACCCGATAGAGAATCTTTGGTCTGATGTAAAAAAATATGTTTCCAATGCAAAACCAAGGATTAATCATGAGCTCTGGGCCACCATTCAAGAATCATGGAGCAGTATTCCACGGGAAAGGTGCCAAAATTTGGTCAATTCTACGCCGAGACGTTGTGCTGCTGTCATTGCTGCCAAAGCTTTTACAACGAAATATTAATACACTATATCGATAAGGAATACAAATGAATACAAATATTCCAGAACTTCCCGGTTTTTTTTTTGTTTTTTTCGTTTTCTTAAGTTATTTTTGAAATAGTGCTATTTTTGTTGCCGCCTAAAATGTTCAACGTTCACATTCTTAATGTAAATATTTCAATTTCATGTTATTATCGACGACACTTGCAGTGTATTTCGATAAATTAGAGCCTAAAGTAAAAATAAAAGCCTTAAACAAGTTAAATATATGAATAGTTATAAAACAAATAATCAATAAAGAAAAATATATGTCATGGTGCTATTTTTTTTGCCGCAGCTGTATCCTTGCAGTTTTTTAGTGAATCATTAAAAATCGGTTCATTACTGAAAAATGTGATGGGTAGGTAGATTCGTTTGGTGATGCTTATAAAGAAGCTCCTTTCTTCACTGCTTTGCAAACTTGTATTCAAAATTATTTATTTCAATTCCGTAGACATTATTAATATTTTTCTCTTTCCAATCAAATATTCCATTCTTTCCCAACAAATGGAGCCAAATTAAATACACAGATCGACACTCAGCGATTTTCGACATGACCCCCAAAAAAAGGACGAGCAGAAGCTCAAGGTAAAAGACACCCCAAGAACCTTGGCTGGTCCAAAAACATCCCCCAAATAAGCTCAACCCTTGTCCTTGGCACTTCCATGTGCATTTCCTTGTGCTTTTTCCCGTTTAGGGTGCTTCCAAGGACCTAGTGACATGACATTGTAATGGCTTAGAAATTTACACGCATCTCCTGCTGAGTGCCTGCTTTCCGGCACCCCTTACAATTCTGAGATTGATCCTCCCCTTCGGTCCACACTTGGGATGCCAGGGGATGGTTTTCGTCTCCAGCACTGAGGAAAACTCTACTTTACATGGAAATTTAAATTTATATCTTAAAGATCACTGATTCTTAAAAAAAAAAAAAAAAAAATTAATTATACAACCAATAAAATAGTAAATTATTTATTTTACCAATATATACAATATATGTATGTAAATATATAGAGAAGATTGTAATCCTTTTTAAAATTTGACTAAAACTCCTAGTAATTTTTCCATTTTTACAGTGTAAACTCCTGGCAATGGGCCTCGAGTTTTTTTGTAAAGCGTTTTTTAATTCCTTTACATGCTGAAAGCACTGAGGGCAAAGTTATTCAAATTTCCTTTGTTCAAGGCCGCCCTGTTGAATGGGGAGTGAATTCGGGATTCATTTGGCTTGATTCGGAGGAATTTTCTTAGCTTCACGTGCTTGGATTTCGGAATTTCTAATGAGTCATAGACTGGGGTTGTTGCTAGGGAAGCTTCTGAGTGGAGGAACTCAAGCTGAAACTGGATTTCCAGGGGAAGATCTTCCAATCAGCGTTCTCTAGGCGTACGATTTCTTCCCTTCGATTTCATATTAATTCCTTAATTATTACCTCACCGACTTCCAGCTGGTAGAAAGGGGACGGCGAGAGGAAGACCCCTAATACACCCCGCTAGGTCTACAAATAACCCGAGGAAAACAATAGAATTTTCATAATTTTTCCCTGCCCATCTGGTTTTTCCTTCATTCCTCCATATCCTCTTAGAACAATGCTAGGTAAAAGCGCCCCGCTGGAAAAACTAGTTTCCCTGCTTTCTTCGATCGGAAAACAGAAGGCGAATGCCTTGTAACCAGTTTTTGCTAATTTGTGCACACGTGCAAATCCTTCAACAAAGGACTTTTTAAAAAGAACTCGTTCCTCCCTTCGCCCAAGGCAAAAAAAAGAAAGTGTTGGGTTCAAATCGCCGCCGGCCACTGACACAGGAAATTAAGGTTAATTCATCAAAATTTCAAAAAGTTTCCTTCTCGACAGTCTGGAAGGAAAATTCAGTTTCCTTGGATCATTTTTCATTCTGATAATTAGGTTCTTGTTATGACATTTCAGAGTTCAGAGTGTGAGATCATGAAGTGGTGTTGAGATGACTCAGCCTTAAAGTGATCATATATGGCAAGGTTGGATGGTTATTAATGAGAGTTTAAGCTGAGTTCAAGTGGTAGTCAAAGGGATAACAAAAAAACCAACCGAGATTAACTGGGATACTAATAGAGTCAAGACAAAAAAGGTTTTTTCAAAAAGAATCTGATTGCATTTATGTTATAATGATCTTAACCTCTTTAAAAAATTTATAGGTCGTATTGAATTTGTATTTTTGTATGTGTTGAATTAAATTCTACTTTAAAAAATACTAAATATTGTTTAAAAAAGAGTCTAGTTACATTTATTATTAATCCATAAATTATAC